TGGGTGCGTCTTAATAGTATTCGCTTTTATCTTCAACTTATAAAACACAATCATCGGAAAATAGAAGCAAGTAAGATAATTGCAGATGCGGCAGGGAAAGGGGTATACCATTCTAGGTGTATTCGTTCTTGGTCACATGAGTATGTTATGACCTGTCAAATTCCTTATTCGCGCCGAGAACACCATGCTAAAACGTGGAGCTTTCTTTGGGATGAAGATATTCTTCTTCAAATCAAGTCGTATGTTCGAGAAAATATGTAGAATATTATTCCACATATGGTTATGCTACAGATGAATGAAGTTATTTTACCAGGGCTCGGATTTGCACCACCACCAACCATTTCTCTTAATACTGCAAAAAATTATCTGAAAGAGCTTGGTTATGTATATGAAAGAGTAAAAAAGGGTATTTACATCGATAGACATGAGAGAGAAGACGTAGTGGCCTATCGAAAAATATTTTTAGAACGAATGAATGAGCTTGAACATAGAATGCCTGTATTTTCAGATGAGGATATGGAAGTGGAAACCTGGCCAGATAGTAGTGTACAGCTGCTTATTCTTGTTACACATGATGAATGTGTCTTTTCAGCTTATGATGGAAGTCGAAGTCTCTGGATTCCTGAAGGGGAACAACCTTTAAGAAAAAAAGGCGAGGGACGTTCAATTCATGTCAGTGAATTTCTTACAGATGTTCGTGGCTAACTTTGCTTCCTGAAAAAATGCAACCATCAGATACGCTTCCTAGAGAAGCTTGTGTTATTATATGCTCTGGCAAAAACAATGATAGATAGTGGAAATCCGAAGATTTGATTGAACAAGTATCCAACTGTGCTATTCCTATATTTGAAGCCGGTTTCCCAGGATGTCAAGCATTATTTGCATTTGACAATGCAAAAAGTCATACTACTTATGTATTTGATGCACTTGTTGCAAAGAATATGAACCTTAGTTCTGCTGGAAAACAAGAAAAAATGCGCAGCACATCATATTTTTGTGGAGGAATAAAAAATGATCAGGATATGGTATTTCCGTTGAATTATTACATCCCTGAATTACGTGGAAAGGCTAAAGGATTAAAACAAGTTTTAAGTGAGAGAGGATTGTGGCCAGAAAAAGGATTTATTAGAATCACTTTCATAATAAAAGATATTTGCTGCATTTAAAAGTGTTTTTGCAAAACCTTCAGCATTATCATTCTCAATCTCAATTAACTCATCATAAGCAAAAAGACTTTCATTATCATAATTTTTTAGCACATTATTATCGCTATAATAATTGTTTGCTGCAGCTTGAAGTC